AAGTTGTAGCCTTGGATGTTATGCTAGAATTACCCAAAAATGAGGTCTAGAACTCCAGTTATGACCTTTTTAGTGAGCAAAAGTCAAGTTGTCAGGATTTAATGTAGCCATGGTCGTGGTTCACAGCCATAGCCGTGGGAAAAAATGTGGAGGTAGAAACCTACAGCCATGATCGTGGTTCACAGTCATGGCCGTGGGGAAAAATGTGGTGGCAGAAACCTACAGCCATGATCGTGGAAAGAAAACTGAATTGACAGAAATTCAGCGCTAAAATGCTTATTTAAGCGTTGCAACGGTGATGGTAGATGACCGAATTTGGTCTTGAGGTCTTCATGAAAGTTGTAGCCTTGGATGTTATGCTAGAATTACCCAAAAATGAGGTCTAGAACTCCAGTTATGACCTTTTTAGTGAGCAAAAGTCAAGTTGTCAGGATTTAAGCTAAGTGTTGCGGTGTTGTCAGGATTTAAGCTAAGTGTTGCGGTTTTTATAATTTTTAACAAGGTTGATGATGGAATTAGGACTTGGTGTCTTCAAGAGAGTTGTAGGAAATCTTTTTATCTTTCATATGAGATAAGGATGAGAATGATAGGAGTATTATAACTTCATATATGTTGTAAACACACAACTTGTAAACAACTTCAACAACATACCACATATTCAACACATTTTTATTTTGCACTCTCTCAACACATAACTTTTCAACTCATTTAGCACCTCTACACAACTACACAACTTCACAACTTAACTACAACATGCATCTCACATCTCACTACTAAGTATCCTCATCATGTTACACAACATCATCAACTTTGTACTTTACTCTAATAGACCACTTGTAACTGTACCATGGTCGTTTCATACACGTGTGCCTCGACCTTGCGCACACACGGGACTAACTAAGTCATAGAGGAGAAAAACACATCATCCACTCTAACGGACAACTTTCCAATGAGGGTTTTCAACAAATTGGGCTATTAGAGCACCACAAATATCTCAATCCGCACAATGGGATGAGTAACTTCGAAAACATCTCTCTTAGTCCTAATGATCAACAACTTATCATCACAGCACAACAACACAGTTATCATCTCATCGACTTAACTATCAACTCATTTCAACTTTAAACAACACAGTTATCATCTCATCAACTCAACTATTAACTCATTTCAACTTTAAACAACACGGTCAACTTAATAACTCAATAGCTCAACTCATAATTTACAGCTCAACCATCACGAAGTAATATCTTTTCAACACATAGTATAACGTACAACTCTATAACAACATACAACTCTCATCTAACAACTTAGGAACACAGTCTACTAATAACTTTTGTATCATATTAACACATCAACACACTCCACATCATGCTTCTCACAACTCACAAAATTATCATCATTTACTTCACAAATCTCAACTACATCATCTCATCATATTTCACAACATATAAATAGTAAACACACAACTTGTAAACAACTTCAACAACATACCACATATTCAACACATTTTTATTTTGCACTCTCTCAACACATAACTTTTCAACTCATTTAGCACCTCTACACAACTACACAACTTCACAACTTAACTACAACATGCATCTCACATCTCACTACTAAGTATCCTCATATATATATATTAAAGTTCTCTCTTTCATATTGGTTTTGCTTCATCCTTTTTTTTTTGTATTCACTTGCAGCTGCTATCCATCCTTCTTTTAAGTGTAGAGTCATTACAAAAATTATAAATTTATCTAATATGATATTCAATATTTAATATGATATAAGTTTATTTTGGTCAAACTAACTTATAAGTTGATTAAAAAAAAAGTTTATAAGTTCCTCAAATTTTTGCAAAAAAACATTGATAAGTTGATTTTAGGTTTTTGAACTATTTGTAGTTCTTTGATTCATTCCTAAACATCTAACACACAATTAAGGTTTTAAATGAAGTCCCGAATGTTTCTAATCCTTCCGAAACCAATAAATACAAAAATTTAACCGATTCAACTAATAATATAAGATTCCTAAAATCTCAAGAACTCTAAGAAGGTAAAACATAGAAATCAAATACTCAAAGACATCAAACATATCAACAAGCAAGTATTTTATGGTATTCATAACTCATCCAAACCAAAAATGTAGAAACATAAGCCAAATTTGGGGTCTAGAATGTGTTAGAAAGAGTAATTCCACTTTATTATTATTTATTAGAAACTCAATCACGTCCATGACTTATTAAATAAGAAGTAGATTATTTAATTTTTATAATGTTTAATAATTTTAACAGATAATTAAAAATGTATTTAAAATAAAGGCCTTATTAATCGGTGTACTAAGGATATTGATTAAGAAATCAATAATAAGATAAATTATAAGTTATATTTATATTAAAAACTACGTTGGAATGCACTATTACAGTATTACTAGTTAGCATTTCTTTAAAACAGTACTATAAATACTAAAAAACTGTATTACTAGTCTTTTTGTAAACTAATCATTAGATAATAGAGTTACAATGATTATAAAACTTATGTTACACAGTATCACAAGAACTAATTAAAAAAAAAAAAAAGATGTGGTTATGGTTGATTTGCAATGTTATGGTGCATTTCTCATAAACATGGAGTGACCAGGTTCTTTGTTTTTTCTATCTAGTATCCAAGATTCCAAAAACAAGATATTTGAGATATTAAGTTTTACATGTTCGAAATACTCTTTGGGATCACTAGAGAGTACTGAAACTGAAAGGCATAGGTATTCCGTGGTTCTGTTTTTGCTGTTCAATTGTTTAGCCATTCCTAGACTCTGCTCACATGGGGACCGAAAAGATTCGGCTTCCCTGGATAATAACACATGCGAGTCATAATCAACAAATAACATCTCCACAAAATAGATGTTGGACTTGGACCACCCCAAAAGCACACACTTTCCCTCTAATGGAAACTCCAAATATTGCGGGGGCATGCCATTAGGAACCTTGCTCTTAAGTCTTAATTGGTCACTTCTTGAAACACCAACTAAGAATTATTCAAGTAAACCTTTCAAGTCGTTCAAAGATGCATATATTATTAATTGGGTTCTTTTCGTCTAATTACGAACTTTTATTAAACTAAAACCAAGAAAATTAAATTCCTAATAACTTTTTTTATATACGCATTGATGGAATTAATTTTAGATCAACGTATAGTTCTACATATTTAATTATGGTTAAAATTAATCTTGATGTAATGTGATTTTTACTTGAATAATACATATTAGAAAAATAGTTTAAAATTGGTAAGGAAAATTGATTTTCAATATGTAATTAATGATTAGCACATTTGGAGTGGATGTGACGAAAAATCAATTTCAATTTCACGATGAATGGTAAGCAACACTTTGTTGATGTGGGAAAATCACTCTCTTTATGTGGTTTTTTTAGTGGGCATCATGATTTTGATGGTACCCAAACAAACTATAATAAAATAGATTTTATTGTCTATGCATGTACCTGTTCTATCATAACCTATATAAAAACATTAAAATTGTATGAAATAGATAATAAAAGTATTAAATTACCATAAGTATCAAATATTATATTGTGGTGATCTTCTACTGTTTAAGAGATCTTCCAAGTGAATGTTGAAGGTTATGTATCATAATAATCTCTTATTGATCGGAAGGTCTCCCGAGCAAATGTCGAAGACTATATAATGTAGTGGTTTCCTATCAACTGAGAAGTCTCCTAGACGAATGTTAAGAGTTATGTAATGTATTGGTCTCTCATATCAATTAAGAGGTCTTCAAGTAAAGGTTAAGGGCTATGTACCATAGTGGTACCCTATCAGTCAAGAGGCCTCCCACACACATATTGAGACTTGAGTATTGGGCAACTCATTTACGCATTTAAGTGACTAAAAACAAAATTTTGTGATTCTTGGAATGAGTAAGATAATAATCATAAATACCAAGATTTATGAATCTATTAATGATAATAATGGTATGGTGTCATTGGCAAGAACAAGAAATGGGATTTGAATTTGTAGCATCACACCAATATATATAGAAATGATTAGGTTTTGAAAAGTTAGGTTATATTTATTGAATGTTTTGGACTAAAATTTTCTATTGATTATCCTCGTACTAGAACGAATAACAATATATCTAAATAAAAGTACAAATAAGAAACGTGAATACACTTTTAACATGCATATATGTGTTGAATAAATTAAAGCAAATACAATTGAAATTGATTTTGCATGAAATAAAAATAACTATCTATTATTTCAATCTCAGCAATGCATAGTTATTTTTTCAACCGAAACTACTTTTTTATTTTTATTTTTTTATAATCAATATCATAAAATTAAGTAAAATTATGCTTGACTAAAGTCCCAGTACTTTATTGTATTCTACCATTGATCCAAATACATTCTAAATTTTACTACTGGAGACTTGTTTGTGAAGGGATGGGAAAGGATTTTTTGCCAAAGGAAGAAAACATGTGCTTGACTGCTACCATTAATTTTAACGTATTTACAAATAGGCACGGAATCATTCTTACAAAATCATCCCAAATATCCCGAACTGCTTTTTCTAGGCATACCTTTGATATCTAGGCATCTAACAACCCCTTCCAACCATTTTACTCAAAAAGGAAGAACTAGAAGAAGAAATAGGCTTCTTGACTTCATATTCAAAATTAATCTACTAGGCTACTAACCATCTATAAACAAAATTGATGGGTGTATACTCCAAACCTAATACAGTAGGTGTTTGGTGATGCACATTTGACCCGGTTAACGTGAATCCGAAAGCGTACACACGATAAATGTTTTAAATAGATAGGTGTTCACGTATTATTACTCATTCAAATATTATTTATGATATATCTAGCTTTGCGACATCGAGATGTTAGACAGGTTACGGTAAGAAATTAAATTTTGAGATCGGCTGAATTGACAAAACTAAATCGAGATGAAAACCGAAAATAAAGATCATCTCAAGATTACAAACTGAAATGATTAATAAATATATAGCGTTAAAAAAAATAAAATATTAGCCAAAATTTAATACCTAATCCAATGCAAGAGCATGTCAAAATCAAAGTAACAAAGAATCCAAAATAAAAAATCGAAAGCCTTCAAAATTTACATACTAAAATCCCCATCCCAAGAAAACATGTCGTGAAAAAAAAGGCAGTATACACGAAAAGTGAGAATAAATAGCGTAACCTTTTCCCTTAAGAATGAATATATTTGCATAAAATAAATAAATGGTATGTAACAGTAACGGTAAGAAGAAGCGAAATGAGTATGCAATGCGTTGGTGTGACCTATAATACTAGGGTGGTGTACCCTGTTCGTTTGGTCGGGGTACCCCCCACCACCGAAATCAACCCACCGTCGTGCTCATCCACGTACAAATCTTCCGTGCTCCTAAACGCAGCGTGCAACGCAACAATTACAACCGCCAGGACCACCGCAGCCACCACGTTCTCCCAGACCCCGGTGAGCGCCAGCGCCAGCACAGTGGCCGCCGCCAGCGTGGCCGCAAGGGCCCGGTCGTGGAGCGCGGCGCCGAGCAGCACGAGGGGCTCATCCCGGAAGAAGTAGAGGAAGAACCAGGCGGCCAGCGCCGCCAAGTAGACGATGATGGAGAGGGGGTGCCAGAGCAGGCTGAGGAACAAGACGAACAGCGCCATCATGAAGTAGTTGACGCGGAAGTGGTCGAGGTTGCGCCTCACGCGCATGGCGGCCTCGCCCACCGAGTAGGGGCGCGTGAAGGAGTAGAGCGCGAACACCTCTTCCCAGGGGCGGCGCGTGGCGAAGGAGGCGCGTGGGGAGGTGTGTGGGCGCGTGACGGCGGAGGAGGAGGAGGAGGGCGAGGGGAGGGAGCTGTAAGAGGACATGGCGTGGGAGAATTGAGAGATTGAGGGGAGGGGAGGGGAAAGTTGTGCGATCGAAAAGAAAAGAGTGTTATCGCTGTCGTTTACTTCATAATCAGCTGTGCCAGCGAGTCCATGAAACCCCGTGGGTCCCACTGCGGAGGAACACGACAACTAACCTGCGGGTGTCTACTGTGTACGCATATTTGTCAATATAATTTTGTTTTATTTATTTTAAAATTGTGAGTTGAGTCACAATTTGACTACGTGTTAGTTAATAGTTAGTTTAGTTCGCAACTGACACATAACCATCTAACATCTATCATCTATTCTTTCTCTTTCACTTGTGCCTCTGTGTGTGGGGTGGGAGGGACTATAACTTTACATTACATTTCCACCTCTCATCTTATGTGCCTTTTCCATTGGAACCCTATTTTTCAGAGTGCTCCAACAACTCAATAAAATTTTAATACAAAAATAAATAAGTTGAGCATAATCAATTATGCTTTAGTTTTTTTCTTCTTTTCAGAAACAGCGCTAAAAGTCAAACATGTAAATGCCAAATTTTGCCAAAACAAAGGATAAGAAAGGAAAATGCACGTAACTTTGCAAAATTCTCCACAAATCTTTGTTGTTTTGGAGGGAACTTTTTTCTTCTAAGATAAATATACGTTTATATTTATTGTATAAACAATAAATTATATACTAATTTACTAAAAAAATTAATTCATTTTTTTAAATAAATGTATTATTAATTAATTTTAAACCAAATTAACATTAGATAAGGATTTTTTTTAAAAAAAATTACTCAAACAATAATGCTATATAGTTTAGTGTTCAAAGTATAATTGAAAACATTAAGTGACATAGTAATTTAAATGGTAAAATTTATAGTATAAATTATGAATTATAGTCATAAAAATGTAATTTAGAACTTTTTCTTCTAAATATATATATCAAATATTTTTTTAAAAAAATTTCACTTATGACCGATTTGATTCAATTGTCCAACATAAGTTTAGAATGTTGGTCGAAAAAATTTTAAACTAATAAATTAATATTAGATAAAAAAATTAAAAATAATTACTCAAACTATAATGTTATATAATTTAGTGTTTAAGGAATAATTGAAAACATTAAGTGACATAGTAATTTAAATAGTAAAATTTATAGTAAAAATTACGAATTCTAGTCATCAAAAGTGTAATTTAATTTTTTAAAACTTATATATTAAATATATATTTTCTAAATTTTACTTATATCAAATTGGTTCAATGATCCAACATAAGTTCATATTGTTGCCCAATAAAAATTTAAACCAAATCGATATGTTCGAGTAAATCAATTGATTTGTCATCTCTAATAATAAATAAATATATTAAAATATATGTATTATAGCAATGATACATATAATAATGACTCATTCCTATTAGAAATCGTAAATACATATAAGATAGATATTCCTCTACTAACATAATTCATTCCATATTCAAAATCGAGATTTGAATCTTAAACAATTTAATTAAGAAACATAAGTCACTATCATCTATACCAACTAACATCAATTATTTCCTTAAAAAACATCGGTTATCAATTTTGTATTTATTTCCTTCCTTCATTAATAATATTTTTTTTTTTTTATAATTAATGAAATGATAAACATCAATAGATATAAAAGTATTCTACATGTAATATTACTTTATGTAGTATAATTTCTTATCGGTTAATACTGTAAAAAAAAAAAAAAAAAACTACACTAACATATAAAAATTAAATTTGATTTTAAAATAAAAGAGAAAGAGAAGTGTAAGTTATGCATCTCTTCAATTAAAATAATGATAATGGTTTTCGTTATTTTGTCATCTATTTACCTGTTTATCCATTAATTTGATACAGGTAATTTAGACCCTGGATGATTTTGATGTTACCATTTAGAATCTGAAAATAGACGTGTCATTGGCCGAAATACCCATTGAAGTTGAAGGTAAGGCTTCTGGATAGTAAATAAAAAGTTTCGTGACCATGAGATAGGTAATTTTAAATTACATTAAGATATATATATATATATATATATATA